TCCCCCGCCGCGCCGCATTCCGCAGCGTGCGCAGCTTCCCTCTAGGGCTGAAGGTCAGAGGCTCCTGAAGCTGAAACTAAGGCGTTCTCCACATTTTTCAGTATCCAGGTTTTATAGCTGCTTTGAGGGTGTGGAGAGTTGCTTTACTCTGTGGGGTCTGGGCAGCACGATGCTCACATTAGTTTTTGTTGTCGCTGCACACGGAGACTTGCAGGTTTCCTGCATAGCTTAGAATCTCTCTGGGTCTTGCTTTGTCTGGCATCCATTCCTGCTGGGCCACACAGAGCTCTCCAGCTGTTGTGGTGTTGCCTTCCTTCTGCAAGCTTTGGTCCCCAAACCCTTTTCTCTTTCTGCCCTGCACAGAATCTCTTCTCTTACTGCCACGCTGCACATGCACAGCCAGAAGAAGACAAAAAGAAAGCGATCCCAACGTGGGCAAGGCCCACGTAAGAAAATCCAGAAGTCCAGCACAGGGCGAACCACCAAGACTCAGCGTCGGAGGCTGACTGGCACAATGGGCCGTGACCAGGATTAACAGAGAAAGAGAAACTAATGTTCAGACCACCAGCTGGGACAGTGCTCCACATCTGGCCTGCTGCTCTTTGGGACCCTATCATTGTGGGCATGCACCTTGTTTACATGGCATTCTGACTAGCCATTAACCCAGGCCAGTTCAGCCTTTCTGTAGCCTCCTGAGCACTGGCCAGGGTCACTAGACACTCTGTCCATTTATTTTTGGAGTGATCTCCAGCTAAGTGTCTAGATACCACAGAATCTCTTAAAAACTTCTGCTGAAGGTCATGTTCTCCACTTCTGTCCTTGACCTCCCCTTTCAAAGCTGATACTTGGCTTTATCACAGAAGGAGATTTGGGGCAGAGTGCAACAGGCACATCATTGTCAGGGCAATTTGAGAGACTTGGGAGAGCTCTGCTTGCACTCCTGCATCAGTGCCCTGGCATTTCTCCTGTGCAGTAAATCCTTTTTCCATGGAGACATGGTGTCATCTTGTCTCCTGTGTTTCTTCACCACACAACACAGTGCCACACCTGAATGCGGGGGTACTTTTTGTTTGGTACGTGTGCCAGGTGAAATTGGGTAACTTTGTGAATAAATTTGAAGTCATTTTGCTAAGAAAAAAAAATCTGTGACTTATTTGAAGCATAAAAGGAGCTGTGCTAACGCCAGTACCAAGTGGAAGGAGGGGGAGGTAATTCCTGGTGTTTAAAGGATATTGAAACCCACTGGTGCTTGGAAAATGGAATAGCTAGGAGCTATTTCTGTGGCAAGGCAGAGCCAGCTAGAGCAGGAATGGCTCATTCCATTGTCTGCTGAATATGCTGATCCTGACTGCGATAGCTCAGGGGAGTATGAAATGCCCTAATGCCCTTGCTGTGTGTGTGTGGCCCTCTCCGGGTGGGAGTGGCACACAAGGCTGCCCTTGTCCTTTACCTCAGGGTTGTTGCAGTTATTAGCAGCTAATTGCCTTTCTTCTTAGGACCTCAGTGTATGTTTTTTACTGTGGTTGCCCTCAGCAGGGGAAGAAAAAAAAATGGTTGGGATTTAGGAATATCCGGGGCAAAACTGAGTGAATCTTCTGAGGAGGGGAGTGAGCCCAGGCAGTATGCTGGCCTCTGTCCTGGAGTATCCTGGAGTATTCTGCCTCTGTCAGCCAAGCCTCCTCCCATGCCATGTGTGCGCTGAAAAGGAAATGACAAAGAAAGAAAAGGCCGATGTGTCCAAAACCCACACCAGAAAAATTTGCAACCCAGCAATGGGCAAGTAAATAGATTCCTCA